TTTTCATTGTACAGTATCGCAAAAACTAGAGCATGATCTCTTATTAACGATTTTTTAAAGAGATCTAATTAATACTCTACATGTGATGTAAAATTAATCATCATTGATCGTATGTTTCTTTGTTGTTTATGTACTTTTGTTGCCATGAGAAAAACTAATTTCATATTTTAATTTGACAATAAAGCTATCTTGTATCTTGTATCTAATATGAATCGCTGCGATAGAAATGTAACAACATAATTGTCTTCGATTTATCTACTTTACCTACTTCATGAGCCGAAAACCAATTTATCTTTACACACTTTTTATCATACTTGTATAATAGAGGGGCGCACTCGAGTCGTGTATTACAGTTAATTCAGATGTTTGTGGACAGAAAACACCGGTATCTTGTTATAAAATAAGATGTTATCTGCCTGTAAAGTGGTCTTTCGTTAAAATCTGGTCATTTATGCAGTTCAATTCTACAATTACCAGGTATATTCTTGACTTCCTTAGGAACGTGATGGGGACCACCCCCTTAAAATAGTTGGGGTACGTGTCGCCTGTCACCCCGTCCATGCTATTCACCAGAAGACAAGGCATTATACAGTAATTCGGCACCAAATCCTGAATTTACGTGATTTCCATTTTTTTTATACGAAGAGAGTAGAATAGTAGGCCTATTTCAAATAAATCAATTATCAGTCATTATTATACTTTTTAAAATATCAACAATTATTTTACACTATTTGCAAATAAATTTGGTTTATTGTATTAGCTATAAAATTTTAATTGGTGTTTTTAGGTAAGAAAATATAATAATAGGCCTATTCCTATATAGGGCCTATCGATATAAGATCACATACTTTTTTTCCGACTTCTGAGTCTCAGCTGGGTCGGCACACACTGGGCAGGCCTCACTATTTGTCAATTAATCGTACCTATCATTGTATTTAAAATTAAAATTGAATTATTGTTGTAGATCTATCTACCCTGAAATTAAATATTACAGAGGTTACTATAATATCTAACAATTTCCGTGTTTACATTCTGGGACGTGACGTACGTACGAACTTGCGTACTTGCGTACGTACGTACGTGTGTTGCGTAAATGCTGTTGAAGGTATGTTAACCAATCAAAAGCGTCAGCGGCAAATCAAATTAAAGCGCTTCGTAACCAAGGCACAGCACACACATCCTAGGCAGGGCGTATAAGCCCAGTGAAATAGTTCAGTTTTCTTTACTATAAAAATCACCTTTCCCGTGGGTATATTTTGGTAAACTTTTTGTATGTTGTAGATATAAAATTTAACTATATATATTCAAAAAACGTTTTGTTGCAATTATGTCCAACTTTGGTGCTTCAAATCTGTATTTCTGGTGGACTATTTATAAATGTCACTTATTATTATTATAAATATATTAATAATAATTATAATAATAAGAATTATTACACAACACAATATTCCTTTTAATCTTCATACAATTGGATGTAGGCCTATCATCTTTAGAAAATACTTTTTACGCCAATACCTAGTTATGTGTTGGATGGTAATATTTGATGTATTAATCGTGAATCATTTTATACAGTTTGATAATGGTGTAATTATAAATGATAATTGATAACATTTATTCTTAGAATGAATAATTTATCTGGAGCATTGTATTTTTTTCTTGTATTTTTTTTTTTTAAATTACAGCTTTGTTTTACAATTCAGCTCCGTTCTGTTACAAACAATTTTATGTATAGATATTTTCTTTGACTAATACCAGGATACATATGTATGTTTTATAATGTATCCAAATTGATACCGTAATTTATTTTGGTGGTGTTCTAATTGAACCTCAGGTTAGACTCACATATGGAAAACATAATTTGTAAAACTGTCATGGTACATTTTGCTCATTACAGGAAATACCGGTAATGTATATCTAAAGCCAAAGTCTCGGCGAGTCGAATGGCCGAGCGGTTAAGACCACATGGTTCAGGTGGTAGAACAAGTCTTCTTGGATAAAGACTATAAACCTGGCTTGTGAGAACCCAGTACATCATTCGAGACGAGCAGGGGATACCCCGGTGTACTGGTACAGACAGCCCCTGTGGACGACGAGAGTTGCTGGTACCAGGTTACCGGGTATCACAGACACGAAGGGACCCTTGGGGGTGGGGGCAGAAAGTCATTGATCAAGTTTCTAGTCCACAAATCAAGCGCCATGAGCATCTTGTTTGATGGATACCGACGCTATACAAATCTACACTACTAGCATATGGTTGTGCAAAGATAGAATCTCTACAAATGGTAAATCGCTTGTATGGAAAACAAGTTAATCACAAATTCTTTAATGTTTCCAAGACGATACCATAACTGAATAATTCAGAATAAACTAAATTATGTGATGGTATTACTGGATGCACTTAGTGTATCAAAGATTGGGAATCCACAAAAAGAAATTATGATAATGATAATAATAATAATGACAATGATGATAATAATAATAATAACAATAATAAAAATGATGATAATAATAATATTAATATTATGCCTATTAATAACTAAATATTAATGATGATAACAATGACTAATATATTAGTACTGGTAAAACAATGGCAAAAGTAATCATAAATAAATGTAGTCTAACTATAATTCAATTAGAAGTATTAATATATTAAGTCTCACCTTCTACTCCAGTTGTTTCCCCCTTTTATGTGCTTAAGTCCGTGAAATGATGTTTCGTCACTAAATATATCAAAACTATTTCCACAGCAACCACCATTCGCATCCTCATTATGATCTTTAAATTCGTTCGACTTTATCTCCGTCGGCCGAAGCGAATTCGGCGTTTGTGCTCTGTTCATCTTCCATTCTCCGCCACCATACGTAGCTTCCCCGATGTAGTTCGGAATATCGTAGCTAGAATAAAATGTTTGGTTACTTCTGACGAACAATGGTTTGTCCGTCAAACCAACATTATCCACTCCTAATCTTTTATCCATTGCTTTAAAAGATTTAGCAGCAACGTATTGCACTGTACCAGGTTTAGTAAAGTTTCTTCACCAAAAGAGATTCTAGCTGTGTCGTCTATTTATAACGACCAGTGTTTTATTAAGAACTGAAATAATTATTAGATCATGAATATTCATATAACTGCTTACCGCTCATTAAGTGCCAATACAAAAGAAGAGAACACAATCATGGTTATTTGCAGACGCAATATTGCATTTACTTGCCAATTATTTTTGTTGACATTACAACTCTATACGCTTTAGTATTTCGCATGGTTGCTGTTAATTGACATGTAATCAATATACTTGTTTTGTTGTATTACGTTTATTCAAATCAATTACCGATACTTCATAACTGCATTTAATTATCAACTCGAAACGTCGCCAAAAACTTACTTACACTTACATCACTAACGATGATGAAGCCAACAGGAAACAGGAAATATTATTTTACAAAATACGTCAGTTTGATTTTGTTATACCTTAATAAAACCGTTTTTTCATTGCCTTTGTATTTTATTTCACTTGAAGTATACATGTAAACCCACTCTTCAATATTCATATATATATA